TGTTGACGAGAGCTCCATAAAATAAGCAAATATTATAGGATTGATTCAAATTGATTCTATCCTATCGTACTTATCTTTTCCATAATTATAGGATAGTTTCCTTATGTATTTATGTTTTCTAATTATAGGATAGTTTCCTTATGTATTTCTGTTTCCTAATTATAGGATAGTTTCCTTATGTATTTATGTTTCCTCCAGTATATATATTGGGTCTCATAATGAAATCAATGAAACTGAGAAAATATTAAGCAATCATCTCTTCTCTTTGTATTTACATGTAATTCATGTGGTTTTAGTGCAAACTAAGAAAAAAAAATTCTAATTACATGTCATTTGGCTGTTCTCATGTTCTCTTATTTTGATTATGTTCTTGTTTGATTATCCCTCTACATGTGTACGTGTACGTGTACGTGTATGTGCATGTGTATACCTCACTTGTAGTACCATCTCCAAAGTAGGCCACAACACATGCATCCTTCTTTTCCATCTTTAGTGAATACGCGACACCAACTGCCTGTGGGAGTTGTGTGCTGCATGGGAAAACAAACACCGTAAAAATATATATAGCTAGGTTCAAACGAGAATATATACATATATATATATATACATACACACATATATATATATATATAGTTATAGATTATTTTGAGAAGTTGTAAATATTTGAAAAGTAAAAAAGTGATTTTAGCCTTTTATAAAGTCAAGATTAGATTTGACTGGTAAAAAATTACGGTTTTAATTGATCAAGAATTGTGGTTTGGCTTTGACTAGTCAAAATTTGCGGCTATATAAAAAATAGAGGGAGTAGTTTTGTAATTCTTACAAATATGCAGCAAATAGGTTCATATTTAAACCCGTATGATTCATATATGAACTATATGTATGTGAACCCGTGTAATTCACATATGAGCCCGTGTGATTCACATAAGAACTGATTAACGGATTAACATATGAACTAATTAAGGTGTCACATATGAGCTAATTAACGTGTTCGCATATGAACATATATGAACTCGTGTGATTCACATATGAACTAATTAAGGGATTCACATATGAACAATATGTTCATATGTGAAATCATACGGGTTCACATATGAATCCGTTTGCCGTCTATTTGTAAAAATTATGAAACTACCCCTCTATTTTCTACATACCTATGTGAGGAGAATTATCCGTGCTTCACAATCGAAATCACAAATGATGGCCAGATGAGAGGTTAGTATCACTTCTTTACTTCTCAAATGAATATTTTCCTATATATATATATATGCATATATATTCACCCTTAATTCTTCATAATAAACCCGAGGAATTAAAAAGCATCAACGATTTAAAAAAATCGAACAAAACCATGAATACGTACGCTAATGGCGATGAGATGGTCAAGAAATTAAGGTCCTTTGATCCGTAATGAACCGGCATTTGCCTGCCTTTCCCGTGACCGGCATCGTTTCCGAAACATTGATTTGCAAATTCTTGCAACGTAAAACCACGCCATAACAAAATTCCCGGCTCTCTATACTGCAATACGTTTAATCAAACCTTCAACTCTAGTTTACTAACCAACACATTTCACAAGATTTTAGGCTGTGTTTGGCAAATTAACCGCTCGTCATTCTAGTTGTTAGTTGTTGACAAATAAACTAACATTTAGCTGAAAGCCTAGTCACGTTTGGTAAACATAAAATGGATAAATTAGTGACAATATAAAATAATATGTTGAAAAATTAACTGATAAGAAATAAGTGGTATTACTGAAGAAAAAAAAAGGAGAAAAAACCCCTTGGACTTGTAAAAATGTTATCTGAATTATAAGTTAGTTATGATCGTCAAACATAGGTTTACAGTTTTGATTCAAATGATTTTGTGGTGGAATATTAGTGAAACCTGAGACAGTATTAAATCATCGGAAGTAAGAGCTCCAAGGGAAATTGGTCAAAATAGTCATTTCTCTCATATAAATTAGTCTCTTATCTGTCCCTCTCCTTGACTTACCCAAATATCACTACATCCATGAATCCCACGTCTGTCACTTGCAGACCTAGCTAAAAGACAAAAAAAAATTATCAGATATGGACCCATTATGACAGCCAGGTCTACAATTTGAAATTTTCTTTTTGTCTTTTAGCTAGGATCGCAAGTGGAGGACATGCCACTTGCGGATGTTGTGAAATTTGGGTAAATTAGGAAGAGGAATGACTATTTTGGACAATTTTCTATAAATTAGTTATGGTGGTCAAACATAGGTTTAAATTGTTGTTGTTGTTTTTTTTGATGGAATATTAGGGGTTATTTAACAGTTGTTGAATGCTTTTGGGCAGAATGATTAAGCGGTCAAAACGAGGCTCTCATGATATAGTGCAAAATGAAATATAATTGTTCGGTAATTGTTTACAAATGGAATTAGGATGCGGAATGGTTAAGTGAGTCTCATGATACAAAATCATTCAGAGGGTTTTGTTAAACCATTAAGAGGCAGACTTTTTTTTTGTCAAACAATGTTCACCTCTTAACAATTCAAAAAATGTCTCTTAATAAAACTATTACGAGGCAAACAAACAATCAATTAGTGAAACCTGAGACAATATTAAATCATGGGAAGTAAGAGCTGCAGCTGATGCTAGGTTGATAGCTTCTTCACCAAATGACGTCATGTAGAATGACAATCTGCCTTGTCTTTGAGCCTCATAAAAGAATTTGTCCATAGTTTGAAGGGTAATCATGCCATTATACACTTTCAATGCAACTTCCTTACTCACCTATATTATATATATACATACATTTTATATTAATTAAAAATCAACAATTTAAATAGAGAGAGAAGAGCAATCAATATAAACCACCTAATTTGTACAAACCGTATAAACTATCTTTATTCGTCGATTTTATTGTTTAATCTTATAAAAAAAATTCATGAAATTGTTTAATCTTGTGAAATTGTTTCATATAATATTTTTTTCATGAAGTTGTTTCATATATAGTTATTAAATTGTTTCATATAATACTTAATGAAATTTTAATGAAACTGTTTCATATATTTTTCTAAAATTAAAATAATGAAGATGATAATATCCATAATTAACACCATGCACAATAAAAATGATTAATCAATCTCTCATAATTACAAAAAAATGAACAAAATGAAAAATTATGATTGGTTGAATGAGGTTTGTACAGTTTGTACAAATAACGTGATTTGCAAAGTAAACCTCCTATATATATATATATTTATATATATATATGAAAGAATGTATTATTATAACAAAATCAGATTTATATAAATATCTTAATAGATTGTTTTATAAGACCCACTATAATGAAATTGGGTTTATAGGATGCCATCAATAAGTAAGTGTTCTAATAGACTGCTTTATAAGACTTAATTTATAGAACCAAAAATTAAAACTATTTATCTAAAGGCGTTATAATAGTTTTATCTGACGTTTTAAGACGTCTTAACAAAATTTTTAAGACAATATTAATAAAAAGTGTCACATTAGCTATTTTATGAAAAGTGTCCTATAAAAATATCTTTTTATAAGACAGTTTTTCAAATAGTTGTCCTATAAAATAACTAATATGACGTTTTTTTTAATGAAAATGTTCTAATAAACTTGTTACGACGTCCAAAAACGTCCTATAAACTTATTGCAACGTCTTTAGATAAGACATTTCGTTTTTTGGTCCTATAATTTATGTCTTATAAAACGGTCTATTATGATGCTTATTTATTGGTGGAGTCCTATAAACCAAATTTTGTTGTAGTGGTCGTATAATTATGTGTCATATATAAAAATGTTAGAATAGTTCATATAACGTTTATGGCGTCTTAACAAATTTTTTATGATACTTTTAAAATAAAATGTTTTATTAGTTTTTTTATACGACATTTTTTTGATAAATGTTAGGGTAAATACTTTATCAAATAATGTAATGAAAATTTAGTAGGAAGCTTTATTTCAAAATTATTTTAAAAACTTGTTAAGATGTTCAAAACCGTCTTATATTCTGACACTTTGTAAAGGATGTACAAGTGTTTGATCCTATAAAACTTAAGTTCTATAACACATTCCATTAAAACACTTTGGGGCCGTTTACTTAAACACTTACCCGGTAAGCGCTTACTGATAAAATTCAACACTATTACTTACTTATCTAATAAAATTTTAGTCTACCAAAACGGCATCGCATGCAACAATTTACCCTGTAAGCGCTAACCGTGGTAAGCGTCATCGCTCTCACTTACCAGGTAAAACTCTAGGTTCTTGCTTTCGCTTTTACTGGGTAAGATTTTTGGTACTTGTCATATTCATCCGGTAAGGTAATGTAACTTGATAAACGTTTACCCAGTAAGCATTTGGTAAAAACGGCCCCTTAGGGGCTATTACTAAAAGCTTAATAGGTAAGCGTTTAACTGAGACATTTACTTTACCAGATTAACATGCATCACAAATGCCGAAAACCTTATCCAGTAATAAGCAAAGCAAGGAACAAGAGGAACAAGATCTAGTCTTACCCAGTAAGTGAGGATGATCGACGACTCTGCCTACCACGTAAGCTTGTTGCATACGATCCCATTTTGATGACCAAGAAGCTTAACCGTTGAGATTATTACCATAAACATTTGGGTAAACGGTCCCTTGGACATTTTTGACATTTTATAAACCAAGATTTTATTACGTACGGAATCAATTGAGAAAAATAATATTTTTTGGCAAATTGAATTAAAAAAAGTGAATCGAGTACGTGTTCCATGGTTGTAGATGAGATCGGGTAACCATCTTCATCAAGAACCCGATAACATTGCACCCTCTTCTCAGATGAACCAGGAAGAAAGTTCAATTCACATGTGAAGCCAATCTTGCCACCAGGAAACCCCTCACCCTGCCTCCAAACAACACCAATTGTTATTCATAATTTTCATGAAAAATTTAATACAGACTGCTTTATAAGATGCAAAAAATGTTTAAATATCTTAATACAGACTGCTTTATAAGACACTATAACAAAATTGGCTTTATAAGACGTCACCAATAAATAAGCGTACTGATAGACCATTATATTGTTTTAGTGTCAATTATATTGACTGTGAAATTATATTGACTGTGAACAGTGAAAAATATACATTTGATGTGTTGATCACGTTAACCTGAATTTCGTCAAACGTATTTTTCTCTCTGTCATCTTCAACCAAGAGTTGTTCCCCAGATGTCGTGGATTTATAGCGAAGAGCCCCAACGAACGCAACATACGATGAATTGTACGAAGACGAATAAAAGAAACGACGAGTGGGTTTTCGATCGAAACCACAATCGTTGCTTCTTATGATTGAATTATTAAGATGAGAATGAAGTAAATAAGTAGAAGGAGAATGTGTTTGATAATAAGAGCATAATGATGGATTATTGCATATGATTTTCTTGACAAAGTTTCCACCACCACCTCTTCTTGTTGTTGTTAACCACATTGAAATATTCATTTGAGAGAGGAATTGGTGCAAATATGAAATGAATGAATAGTATGCATTGTTATTAACATCTTCAATATTTATAATTTGGTGAAAATTACAATATTGCCCCCTGAGATTTATTTATTTTAAAGAAATTCTCACTGTGTTAGATTGGTTCTGTATCTCCAGAGTTATACACCGTCTCTGTTAACTATGAGAATAAACTGCCCATTTCATTAGTTTTCTTTATTTTATCATTTTTAAAATGAAACCTCAGGGGAAGGGATGCAGATCGATGGCTAGGTGAGGATCGGATAAGAAATCAGATGGAGGGATGCATATAGATCGATGAAGAAAATTGTCAAAAAACGGAGTCATGGTGGATGAAGATTGGAAAAACATAGTGGTTTAAGTAGCCAGGGAGATGTAAGTCGTTGGAGTCGTCAGTAACAGAGTAACAATAGTTGGCGAATGAAAATGAAAGGAGAAAGTGGTTTGGATGAGGTTGTTCCAGCGGCCATGGGGAGGGTTAAAAACGATGACCAGTTTCTGGCCATTTTCGTCCTGGACCACGTGTTAATGTTATACATTTTGGCCTCAATTTTATTAAAGGTTTGACGACAGATGTTAAAACCAAGAAAAGAGTAAAATGGTCATATTGCTCTTTCACTTAATAGATAGATATATTATATTGACAGACATTAAGATGAGGGACTAAATTTGAAACAAAATGTAAACGTTGAGAGTTGTTCTATAAATAAACAAAGTTAAGGGTTCTAATTTGATAATTGTTACCAAACCATAAGGACCACAAAAGTAATTCACTATTAATTATATATGGGGCTTCTAGACAAAAATAGCAATAGGACCTACAGTTTCGTCTACATCATTTCTATTCTATTCCATGGAACTCATTTATACCAATTTTTAAAGCATTTATTTATAGTATCTTATAAATCAGATTTATTAAAAGTTTTAAAAATAATTTTTAATGTATAAAGTATTATATATTTATGTACAAAGTCTTAAAAATAACTTGTTATGCATTAAGTACTACTACTTTATGCATCCAATCTTAAAATCTCTTAATTTACAATTAAAATAACACATAGTACAAGTTACTAATGCACATTATTATCTTTTCTTTTCATGTTCCTAAGATACTTTTGACACTTTTCACTCATGTCTACACCCTCTCATGCCTTTATGTCTTCTTCTCATCTCCCAATGTGAGATTCAAATTGATATTCACTATGAGTTATTAAAATTTCTTTCATTCATCTCTCATTCAATTGCTCTACTACTTTCGCTCTCGATCTCTTGATTCTTTGCTTTTGGTGCAAATGGAACACATTTTTTGAGTCGTTTAAATATGTTGGATTTTAAATATATTGGATTTTAAATATATTGGATTTTAAACTATCATACAATTTTTTTTATCGATAGACTGTAATTATAACCATAACATTAATTTATTCAAACTATATTAATATGTAAAAACCAAGTGTAACTTATATCATCGTTAAATCTTCTCTAATAAAACCAATAAAATCGTTAAAATTCACGGCTCCCGCCGCATTGCGCGGATACACACCTAATAAGACTAAAGTTCTTATTTTTTGTTATTATTATTTTTTAACCAATTTTTTACTAAATATATATAATATATAATTTAAAATTGATAAAAAAACAACATAAATTAATTATTATAAAATAAATTTTTTGATTTTGTTTTACTTTTCTTTTTTGTAAATTCTTGTTTTTCAAATTCTTATACATATATATGACTAAAAACTACAACAAAATCGGATTTATAGGACGCTTCCAATTTCTAAGCATTCTAATAGACCTCTTTATTAAACTTAGTTTATATGACCAAAAACTAAAGTGTTATATCTAAAGGCGTTGGAATAAGTTTATATAACCTTTCCTGATGTCTTAATAAGACTTTTAGAACACTTTTAATATAAAGCGTCTCATTAACAACTTTATAGGATACTATTTGAAAATTTGTCTTATGAAAACAAATGTCATATAAAAAATTGAGTTTATAGGACACTTTCTCAAAAGTCTCCTATAAAATTGCTAATGCGACGTTTTGTATTAAAAATATCTTAAAAAATTTGTTAAGACGCTCAAAAGCGTCATATAAACTTATTACAACGCCTTTAGATAGGACGCTTCTATATTTTGGTCCTATAAATTAAGTCCTATAAAACTGTCTATTGAGACGCTTAGAGATTGGAGATGTCCTGTAAACCCAATTTTGTTGTAGTGAAAATTAATTTATAAAACATAAATTAATAATAGTAAAATATCTTATATGAGTCATTCCTCACAACTATCCTTCGAGAAAATGTTAAAAGATTATGGTATAAAGAAGAGTTAAATGTAAGATAAAGTTATATTTATGTATTAATTGGTTTTTGAATATGTTAACAGAATATATAAATTAACAAATTAAATTAATATAGGATAGTGAAAATTAATGAATTATATTTTAATCTTTTTTATAATTTTTATGATATATATGTATAAAACGGAAGGTTCAAGAGAAAACCTCAAAAAATTAAAAAAATTAAGGAATACTCTGATAATCATTAATTTGAACGGTATGCACATATGCATACACGTAATTGAAACTGTTTTTTGGTTTTATGCACATGTACATATCGAACAAATTGCTTTCAAATTACTTGTATGCACATGTGCATACCGTCCAGATGAACGGTAACCAGAGTGTTCCTTAGTTTTTTTATTTTTTTGCAGTTTTCCCCTAAATCTAACCCTATGTGTGTATGTATATATATATATATATATATATATATATATATATAGCCAAAGGTAATTTTGAGAAGTGGTAAATATTTGAGAAATAAAGAAGTGATCTTTCAAGATCGGATTTGACTGGTCAATAATTACAACTTTAACTGGTCAAATAATTACGGCTTTGACCGGTCAAAAGAAATTGTGGCTATGCGAAAAATAGAGAGGATAGTTTCGTAACTTTTACAAATATAAGGCAAACGAGTTCATATATGAACTTATGTGATTCACATATGAACTATATATTCATATGCGAACTCGTGTAATTCACATAGAACTATTTTAACTGATTCATATATGAATATGTGTGATTCACATATGAACTAATTAACTGATTCACATATGAATCCTTGTGATTTATATATGAACAAATTAACTGATTCACATATGAATCTGTGTGATTCACATATGCACTAATTAATTGATTCATATATGAACATGTGAGTTCATATGTGAATCAGTTAAATAGTTTACATGTGGACTAATGAACGAGTTCACATATAAACATATAGTTCCTATGTATATCACATAGATTCACATATGAACACGTTTGCCCTCTATTTTGTAAAAGTTATGAAACTAATTCTCTATCTTTCACATACCTATGTGATGAATTGTCTGGTGTTTCATGGTCAAAGCCACAAATGTTGATCAGATGAAAGGCTAGGATCATTTTTTTACTTTTCATATATTTACCACTTCTAAAATGAAGCCCCCTCTCTCTCTCTCTCTCTCTCTCTCTCTCTCTCTCTATATATATATATATATATATATATATGAAGTTTATATAATAATCTATAAATAAAATCACATTTTATAAATTAAAAATAGGGAAAGTGAGGTTTTTATAAGAACCTCCGTTATGAAATTTTATTGAGGTTCTTATTTTGTTGAGGTGATAATAATGTGGTAGGGAGAAATATGTCAAATGAGGTTTTTAGAGGTTCCACCAGTGTGGATGCTCGAAAGTTCTTATAAGAACCTCTTTTTTATAATTTTTTTTGTCACCTCATCTCTAACTCATCAAAATAGTTACTCACATAAAAGTATATAATTATAGTTCTTATAAGAATCATTTTTATGGTTCCTATGTATTTTTTCCAACTTCAATAATTAATATATATTTTAACATAAATTTAATCTAAATACCAATTTCTGATTTTCAGGTTACGTATTATATAATAATTTAATGAATATTAATTATAATTTAATAAATGTTTAGATATTTTATGATAATCTGTTTATCAATTAAAAAGTTTAGGGTTGTTTTTGATAAAGCAGAAACTTGAGGGGTTTAATTTAATTATGTATTTAAATGTTTTAATCCTCTGTTTATGTTTATTATTTGATGAGATATTTTATTTATCTCATTTGGGATGGTAAGTAAATAAGTGAAAGAAAGAAAACCTTTTGTGTGTGAGGAAAACATAAACCAAAGGGATAATAGAAGAAGAAACTGATTTCTGGGATAATAAAAGAAGAAACTGATCTATGTGATTCTTGTTCTGGATAATTTTTGTTGATTTTCATCTTCATATTTGCATCTTTAATTTGTGTGACAAGGTGAGTTTTAGTTTAAAAACTTTCATCTTAGAGCGTTAAAACAGAATCATATGGTTCTTTACATGGGGTTGTTTTGAAACTGCTATTATATTATTTTTAGCATAATTTTGTAGTTTGATATGTTTACATCAACTGGTTGGAATAAGGGTGACATAATCAAGAGATCTGTATCATGGGATAAAAGTGGCATAATCAGGAGAGACATATTTTGGGATAAGGGTGACATAATCAGGAGGGGTGTATTTTGGGATAAAGGTGACAATCAACTGAATGTGAAAACTGGGATTTTTGGATCATATGATAAACTGTTGTCGCATCTTTATGATGCGATGACTTTGAGTTATTGCATCTATGTGATGCGATGACTTGGGTTATCGCATCCTATTGATGCAATGAATTGATTTAATCGCATCCTTGTGATGCGAGAAGGGAGTTTTGTCGCATCCTTGTGATGCGACAAATTAAATTGTCGCATCCTATTGATGTGACCAAGGTGTGTTTATAGCATCTATATGATGTGATGAGATGGGTCCTTACACCTGTGTGATGCGAGGAAATGGGGTTGTCCCACCCTTATGATACAAGAAAATTATGGTTTTATTTATATGGTGCGACAAGTTTATGTGTGATGTGATAAATGG